GCAATTTCATGTCAAACATGACAAAGTATTATTCGTCCTCCATTTTCATTTACAGAGTATAAACTTCTTGGGTATTCAATCCATTTATTAAAATTGGGTTGACATTAAGGGAGGTTATGTTCAGTAAAAATGAATTGACAACTATTTTACAATGAATAAAATTTAAAAGTTCCATTAAGTGATATTAAAATTACTCTTTCTATATGATATGTTAATAACAAGTAATGAATGCAAATACATGAGAAAAATCATTCCTTAACAAAATAAATCTTTGGAATAGGGCCTGAAATATAAACGGTTTAGCTTTTGAAAATTCATTGCCAAATAGATGATAAAAGATAGATTAGAATTTTGGAAATAATTTACCCTATACTTCCACTTGTTCCCACATATTTCATCGCTTTCTTTTTGCTTTACTCAAGTATACCTCATTAACTCTTTTGATTCATACGATACCAAAACGTTACGATACCAAAATTTTACTACTATTTCATTTTACCGATCTTCATTATCGATTCTACCGCAATCATCAATCACAAAATATCAGACAATTGATTACATAGAAACTGAAAGTTTCATTTTAATATGCAATAAAATAACTTTTGAAAATTTCAAGATTGCAATCAAAATAATTGACACACGAAAAGTTACTCAAGAATATAAATGCAAATTTTTGCCACGTGAAATTCATACATGGAAACGTTTGAGACATCCAAATTTGGTAGCCCTTTTTGATGTTTTTGAAGAAGCTGGTAAAGTATACTTACCAATGGAACTTGCCGAAAAAGGTGATCTTGTAAGTTATCTTTCGATTATAATATTTAAATTTGAAATTATATGATGACAATGAGCAAAATATTCGTCATTAGATAATAGAAGGAACCACTCAGAAAGTTATAAATGAAGATTTTGGGAACATTACCATCTTACTCATAAATAACCATAAAATGATGAACAACATAATCTAATGATTCTAAATGGCATATGAATTCTGAAAATAATCCGAAGATGATGTTGGAGAATCTAAATTAGAGTATAAGATATAAAATTACTTCACCTATTTGGAAGTTTAAACAGTAAATTTCAACCATCATATGTCAACATCAAAAGAATAGCTTGAATATACTTGAATAAACGAATGATGATGTAATGCAGGATTATTTAAGGTAAGATTAACTTCTATGATTTAATGGTCTCTTATTTCCCTTTTTTATTTTCAGTTAACATTTATTCAACAAAACGGTGCACAACCCGAATCGATAGCTCAAAGATGGATGAAACAACTTATTTCAGCAGTTCGTTATATGCATTTGCGTTCAATAGCACACCGTGATTTGAAACTAGAAAATATCCTTCTGTTTGCTGATAACTCCATTAAAATTGCTGATTTCGGATTCTGTCGAGAGGTATGTCAGGTGAAATATTTTCATTTCAAATCAATTAAATTTCAAACCAAAATATATTTTAATAAATAGGTTTGCTGTAATGAATTGCATAAGTTCTTGGAGATGAAAAATTAAGGAAAAATTTAAATGAACTAAACTGGTAAATATAATAACTGAGAAAGAAATCAAATAATTAGAATAATTAGGAAACAATGAAACTAAGGATCTATAAATACGGAAGTTTAACAAACAGCATAAATTGAATGACCAAATGAGTAACCATGTTATGCCATGTCAATGTTATTATTGTTAAAATGAGTTATATTTATTGAGTTCATATGTTTTCAGTACTAAAAGAATTCTTTAAAAAGAAGGTAATTCAGTCATGAGTCTTTATTAAATTCTGAAGGAAGAGGATATTTTTACTTTTAATTTTGATAAACTTATAAAACCGTAACGTTATTTTTCATTTGCGGAAGCTGAAACGACAACAGCTATAGGTAAATGAATCAATATGTATTGTGCTAATTACAAAAAATATAATAAATAGTCAAGAAGTTGTGATAAAGCTAACGATATGTAATAAACGAATCGGAACTGATCCGAAAATCTTATACAACATAATGGAAATAGTTAAGGCACAAAATGGTGATTTATCGAGGACATTTTGTGGATCAAAATCTTACTCAGCCCCAGAAATTCTTCTTGGTCAAGAATATATCCCATTCAAGGCGGATGTATGGTAAGGTTAAACTATTTCAAAATTTGCCTAAATGAATAGTCACAGTTAGACCATTCCAAAACAAACATTCACTTTACAATTCCCAACAATTTATATTTCAGGTTGTCAACGTGATAGATGACTAAGAAGAAGAATTAGCCTTCAGTTATCAAATTAACTAATGAATTAATAAAGCGATAGCTTTAAGAATTAGTCAGATTCAATTAGAAATTAATTTACTTGTAATCTACAAAGAAACAAGTGTAAATAACCATAAGTGTATAACATAAACTATTCTGGTTTCTTATTGATTCGCAAAGCTTGTCAGAAATTAAAATGAATCAATTGATCAACCCATTTCTTTATTTCAGGTCATTAGGTGTTGTAGCATTTGTATTGGTTACCAATCGGATGCCATATAATGAACGTGTTGCTAGTAATACCATTATTGTGGAAGCACAACGAAACAGAACTTATCATTATTCGAAAAAGCTACAGCTTAGTCAAATATGCCAAAGTACCATCGACACCATGATGACATTTGATTATCATACACGGCCTGATATCCAACAAGTTAGATAAAATGCTTCCAGGAAAGAGGCGGCACTATCCTGACTCAGTTTTAATAGCTTAAAACATTGAGTAAAAAACGAAAAAAAAACACTAAGAGAAAAGCGATCACGACTGATTGAAAACATAAACCGTAGCCTTCACATTCCAAGTACTTTGTTACATAAACTTTATCTCCGAAAGAATGATAATGAACTACAACTAGTTCCCTTCATCATTTTTGTGATTAACGTAAATGATGACCACAAGTTAATTTACAAGATACAATAACTTATTCAGTTTCTTTGTTGTAATTTACTTTATTTGGTTAAATTTCGTTCACCACCCATAAACAAAACAATCATTTTACTTCATGATAATTCAGCTCTAACTATAGCCCTGCAGTAATTTGGTAAAAGTTAATCCCTCCACAATTACCACAAATAAATCAATTCCGATCCACCAACTTTATATTAACTGGAGTAACTTCCCGTATCAGACAATTCATTATATTGTCAATTTAAAACAATAGATCTATAGCTTGTCATCCACAATTCTTGTTATTATATTTTACTTATATGATAAGTATACCAATGGTATATTAAATAAATGCTAATAACCCAACGATTACAGGCGATGAACTTGCCCTGGTTTCACCTACCAATAATACCAGTGGAGCGCAAGGAAAATGGAGCCAGTTGTACCACCGTATAATATTACATAATTTCTAGTTTCTTTATATCTGTATAATTTTATTTACACCAAAATTTTCGTTTCAAACAAAAGTGAAACAGATGAAAGTTAATCTACCCTTATCATTTTTTCTCCACTCCTTTACCCTTCCATTCTTTCGTCCATGATCATATACTTCTTCCTCCTCACTCATTACTCACTTCCTTTAAATACTCGCCTTTTAGATCTTTTTTTTTTCCTGAATTCTTTCGCTTCCATCATACAGATATACGAATAAATATGTTGTTAAACATTGCGAAATTTCAAATATTCACAAACCTGAATCTGAATAAATTTTCGTCTAGTCATCGTATGCCAATCATTAGTGTCGTGAAGTTTGCGCAATAATGACACAAAACGACGTAACTCCACTGTAGCATATTCTATAATAAAAAAATTTTGAAGGATTTCAAAACTGTTATGCTCCATTAAAACTAACTAACAATATTAAAAAATCATGCCAGAGTCACAGACTGGAAGTCATAGATTAGATGATTAATCGTATTTCAAAATTCTCTAAGAATCATTTAGCATCAATATTTCTGAGTTATTTCAATATTATAACCAACTAAATATCATTTTATAATTATCCGGTTTAATACCTGAATTATACCAAAATGTTCTAAGAACCATACGTAAAATACATGAACTAACGACCCGCCAATCAATGACGTTGAAACTACATGAAGAATCGAAACTGATAACGGAATTTTAAAGTACAAAAATTATCACTGTTAATAGTATAAATATCACTGAAGTAAAGAATTTACCTTCCTCATTCAAATGATCCATTATCGAGAAACCGATGACGTTGATTCAGTACTGGAATTATTTCGAAATCATCTAGAAACCACATACATATTTGAAATCAACTAAACCCAAAATATTTCGTCGTTTGCTAGCTCTTAAGTTTGTCATATCCATTTCATTGCTCTATACGATGCAAAACCTATGAGTTATCCATTTGTCAAAATTCAAAACAGGTACCAGGTATTTAATGGTCGAGAGACTAACTAATTAAGTCTCTAATTTTATCATACGCACAATTCTATTAAGTTCTTGGAGCACAATTTACTCGATTCCAAGGAACTCCTCCTACAACTTCCATAAATTATGACGAAACTATTCAGAGTGCTAATCAAATAATAATATTTTAGGATTACGGAAATAAGGATTTGCGATATCGTATTGAAGGTAAAAGACCAAAACTTTCAACAGAAAATCAATCCAGCGAGAATCATTAGAAGTGTATGCAAGTGTTCGAAATCAATTTTGGTTTTATAATAATTATTTTAAAAAACATGAAACATCATGATTTTTTTATTGCCAATATGAAGCAAGAACTAAAAAGAACTAACAGTAGTTCCAACAAATTACAAAAACGCATTACATGTTTGACAAGAATTCAAATTTCTGGGCACTGGCAATTCGAGGTTCCACAAAAATTTGAGGAGAAAATCAAAAAAAGAGTCCATGATGAAAGAAAAACCATAGTCATCGTTCAGCTTTAAAGGAAAGGATCTCTAACAGCTTCCAATCACTGATCAAAAATTCAACCACTAACAATAACATGATTTAGAAAAAAAGAGCCGTTGAAAATCATATTTCCATCAGTTCAGATTCATTAGGTGATCCAGATGAAGGATGCAACACAACAGGTCTGTATGTCCATTTCGGAAAAACTCGTTTGTACAGATTCATCATCACTGTATCCATCGCATTAAGTTGCTGATCGAATACACATTTCATATGTCCATGCGTTCCTGAAGTAGGAACAAATTAATAATTTAAGAAACATGTTAGGTAGCTCTATTTAAATCCTAAACTCGTTTTAAAATTATTAGAGTCAGCAAGCTGTCAAGTAGATTGTACATTGTATCATATGGTAGTTCTGCAAAAAGAACATCTCACATTATTTAGTTTTACAAAAGAAAACTACTATGTCGGTCGTTAAGTTTAAAATCAGCTTATTCCATTTTCGAGTGGTTTGAAACTTTTCAGTTTTTCGAAAGGTCCTTGAAATTGCTACAAAAAAATAGCAAATATTAGTAGGCCGGATGTAGGCCTACTCATATTCTTCCGTTTCTGAAATTTTCGGATGGGTTTAGTGCATTAAGATTCTTGAACAACCATTAAAAAAATCACCTAATGCTTCTTTAATGTGTCCTCTTCGACCGCGTGGAGTGCGCAATTCCACAGGTTTAAACCATTCAATATCCTCTGAAAAGAAATTAAGAAAACTGAGTTCACCAATATACTGATCTCTTAAAATACTTGCCAAAAAAACCGAAAATATCAAAGAACGAAAGCAATTATGCACACACCGACTGAAGCATACACTAAAAAAAAAAGAAAAGATTATTTCGTTATTACTTCTAACAACGAAAATTGCTTAGATACTTGCAATTAAGTGAGTGTCCAGTAACTTTTACTAACATTTACGAGTAAATGCTGAACAATCTTCTTCATATCACTCATGTATTCCAGTCTTTCTAAATTTTGTCAAAGAAAATTTACCACGGTTAAAAAACATGTAGCGTACGACAACACTTCTTCGATTGATTTTAAATGGATGTCCAGAAAGAACGATGCGTTTGAGGATGATTCGATCCGGACTAACATTTAGCACACCACCCGTTGCTACAAGTTGCTGATTTCCTCGGCTATCTAATCGATAGACCAGAACAGGAACAGGTGGGAACATTATTGGTGCAAATACCGATGCAACAAATGCGCCATCGTTCGGCATGAACCGCTCCATCTGTAAATATGAAAAACATTCTGCATTTAAAATATTTTCAAGTAAATTAAAAGTTCCGAATTTCTTACAGTTCCCAGTTAAACCGACGTTGTTGTGCCATCAGTATTTCGCTAATATCTACAAATTAGTTTATATGGAATCTAATTTTCTTCTGCCTATTCAGTTACTAAATTAATCATACTTTTTACTCTGCTATCGGAAAGAAAAATGAGGATACTATATTCGCCCATCGTACGACGCTTATCAACGGAACTGATGTACACCATCGGTAACATAAGGAAAGAAGTACTGAATGCATTATTTCATAAATTTAAAAAATCACCTTGAACTTGTCACCACTTGTATGTTGTGAAAATACTGGCTCTGCTTCAAAATGTCGATAACCCATGTAAAAGAGCAATCTCTGCTTGTTTGTTATTGGTACCGTACAGGAAGGATGTCTTTTAAGCACCATATTAAGAACTGACATCTTCTGTTCATGTGCTAACAATCCATAAATTATTAATGGCTTACTACGAGGCCAAATATCTGAAAAAAAAAAAAGTCTAACAACGAGTAATAAGATTTCCCGTACGATCATAGAATTAAGATGACAAAATGAGTGCCTTCCGGAAATGAATTAATATTGCGGGATTCCAGTTCTTCTACCGCCAAGTAGGGAAAAAAGTTCAATATGAAGTAAAGTTAATGAGTTTCATTAAATTGGACCAATTTTGCTCTTCAATTTATCATTATAACTTACAAAGTAAAACAGGATCTAAATTTTAGCAAAAAATTGCTGACAATTTTCTGTTTTCTATTAATTTACTTACTCATTTCTCCAGACAAAAAAATACTACCAGTTTTTCCGATGCATATAAGCCCAAATAAGGCTTGAAGGATGTTAGTTACAAAGATGCAAAATAAATACCTATTAAATTGGTGGGCACTTTGGAAATATAAATAGAAATGAATGCGCCTCGTGGTGCGCTGTATTCATTTTCAGTTGCAGTATTTGACAATGCAACTTTCTTAGAGTGTCGATAATTCGAAAATTTGAAAATTCGAGAATATGTTTTTGGAAGATTTTCAAGTGGGTCCCAAGGCGATGTCCTGAAACTGTATCCGGTACTTCATGTGCCAAAGTTTTCAAAGATCAATTTTTTAAGTTTATTTAATTTGAGGTAGGATATTCAAATAATGAAGAAACCTGAAACTTTTTAAAGCACGATATCTCTGGAAACGAATTCTAGCTGGCACATCCATCGGAGTGTCAATTTCGTCTGGGAACTGCTCATTTTCACGGGCTTCTCGGTATTTCTCCACTTCTGCCATGTTGATTTCTTCATCTTTAATCTCCATGAAACTTTCAGTATCACTTATGACGCTCGTCTAAATATTGGAAATGAAATTTATTGAAGTACAATTAATTTCGCTTTCTTTTAGATTTAAAGCTCGTCTGAAATAATGAGGAACACCAATATAGAGTAAGTGAAAACGACCTTCTCTACTTCCATTTCGTTTTCGACATCTGACTCCTCGCTATTTACTGCTTCTTTCATGACGTTATTGTCTGCTAGTTCATCCTAGAAAATTCATATTATTCGTTTTTGTTAGTTGTAAACTGTTTAAGAAAGAACATTATCTTAGGAAGTCGAAATGCTGTTCATTTGCAATCCCATTAATTTCACAGTCTATTTTTCGACCTGGTAATCACATTCACTTTAATCTATAGAGTTTGTACTTATTGAAAATAGCTTGAAATTTGTGACTGATTCCGAAAACCAGAAGAATAAGTGGTTCGAAACAATTGTATCTTAAAAGTATTTCTGAACTTGAATATTACTTTTGTATTTCAAAAATTAATAAAAAACCTCAATCTCCTCGTCAGATATCTCATCTTCATCATTAATAATCCACTCAGCTTGATATGCCGATGTCCCAACTGGTACATTTTTGACTATTTTCTTTACTTTAACTGAAAAGTTTCATGTTTATCAAATGATGTAATAGACTAATGTGTCCTGTCCTCAACTTTTAGAATCGTAATCCATACAGAAACCGACAAAATAACATCGAAGTCTTCTAATCATGAAAGATTTTAAGTTTTTTAAAAGTTCCCGTTCGAAATTAAAACGCATCACAAAAGTTCAACGACTCAAAACTTTATTGGTGAAAGCAACAGTGTTCCTACATGCTTCCTTCACAATATCATCCTCTGTTGGCCATGTCTGCTCTGCATCCATAGGATCTGGAATTATTTCAGACTGTAATGACGTCTGCAGATTCACATCCGGTTTGAATGTAGTTCCTGAAGTTTTGATACCAATCCGGACCTGGAATTATTAACGCATCAGAAATGTCACAACTTGCTCTACCCTATAAATTACGTATAAATTACAAAACTGAAGTCCGTATAATTTTCATTCCTGCAACACCACATCTTTTTGCAGAGATATTATACGCTAGGAAAGTTTCGTAGGTAGCTCAGTTTCATTTAAAAAATCAGCTCCTATTCCTTTATTTAAGAATTATAATTTTTACACTTTATTCCAGTCTAATTTGTTACGAAAACTCATTTCCTATAGTCTTCTCAATCATCAAAGCACCTCATCACATAGATTAAGATTTTTAAAAAATCATGGAAATTAAACTCTCAAAGACCTTCTTATCTGGCGCAAAAGGATCTTGCTCCATGACAATTTGTGTCATTTGGAAATCACCCAACCACGGTACGTGAACAAGATTGTTAACATCCAAGGACCGTCCCTTCAAATATCCGGTAACTTTCAGCGTGCATAAATCTCCCTGAGAACACAGTTATTAATTTCATTACAATTATAAATTCCTTTACATTTATACATCTTTCAGTTATAACCTAAAATCACTAAGAATGATCAAACATTCCGAATACCGCAGGTGTCTTATAACGGTGACACCATTGTACACCGACATGTTATCCGATCTACCATTAACTGATTATACTGTCAATCTCCAATGACTTTACTTTTCATTTTGAAATTTATTTTAAATGAATTGCATTCACTTTCCATTCGATCTTAAAAGACTGAAATTTAAATAAGTGAGAAAATTATACCTCTGCTTCAATTTTTTCAACATTTTCGGCAATTAAATGTGATCGCATCCTTTGCATACATGGCAACTTCTTTTTCATTGTACTAATCAAACGCAGAGCAAGTAAACCATCATTTTCGCTATCACAGTGCATCAGCTTCTCATTTCCAAAACTCCTGAAATCATGAAATTATAATGTATTGCGGGAATATTTTTAAGCCTTACAGAGGCACAGGAGTAATGTAATCTCTTATATTGCTCAATAAAAAATAAAAATGAGCAAATTGAAGGAAAAAAAATTTCTTCAGTTTTTAGTTTCAGCTACAGAATCAACAGCTCTCGAATTATCGACAAAAGATTACCAATTCGCGATTAATTTTGTAACATTTTTGCGTATAATTTCTTTTTGTTTTGTAGTTGCAGACGCGCAGAGCCCTGGTACAAAGTGCATGGTAACCGGTAAACCATGTGCCAACAAGGTACTCATTAAAATATCATCTTTCACCGTAATTTCACCATTAGCTGGCCAAATGAAAGCAATGACATCGGATATTTTCACGTAATCAAGTATAACATCAGTGTTTACATAATTCGGTGCAGTAAACACATAACGACTTTTGAGTCGCTTTATGCTAAAAAAAAAGTATTTGTACATTTTGCTAAAAAAAGAAAATTTGATGGTGGAATTCCATGTCTTTTAATAAAGATTGGTCAGAATCCTTTTGAAAAAAAAGAAAAAAAAAAACAAAGCTATAAGAAATACCAACGGCAGAGGTAATGAATGAACTAAAATTGCTCCTGGAAAGTTCATATCTGTATAGCATATAATCATTTCAAAAAATACAAATAATTATGCCAAATGTATAAAGCATAAAATTATCCAAACATTTAGGCCACCATATATTGGTTTTTCAACTTTTTAACAACTTTTTTTGCAAAAATGTTTGACATCACTTGGGAAAATTTACCAGAGATGATTTAGACAACCATTATAACTTGTATTTCGATAAGAAGTTTCATCACACGAACATAACAGTGCTATAAGTTCATCGGCCGTATAATTAGGATCAAATGATAAGACCGTCTGAAATATAACAAAAATTTGAAGAAACAAGCAAACAAAATTGGCAAACATCTGCTACAACTGACTGCAAAGTTGTCAAGGAATTTCAAAATAATTCTCTTTTATTATTAGCATTCAGAAATGTTTTGGAAACGACAATTTCAGTACAAGAATTACACCCGCAACCTTACGCAATGTCAAAACAAGTTTATCATAAAAGTAAACGGAGTATATGAAAAATTCGTCTATTAAAACTTTTTTCGACAATCAAATAGAAAGGAAAAATATTTCAATCTGCAAACTAGCAGAATATGAAGAAATTATGGAAAATGGAAATAATCAATACGGTAAAGGAAACGCACGATAAATATTGGAGGTTGTTTGAGGTAACCGTTAGAAGCGGCGTAACCTTCAGATAATTTTAGGGCAGCATGTTTATTTTCACGTAACTGTTGAGCTTGGAGACGTCGAGCTTTCTTACCAATCAAAAAACGATGTTTTCCAGTTACAGCTTTGCAACCTACCTTACCTGAAAAAATATTGTAGGAAGTGGACATCGAGCACTCAAGATATTTTTATCTTTCTTATCCTTTAATTTTTCCTCAAGCCTTCTAATCAACAATTGATCAATCTCATTTCTTCACTTCCTCAGCCTAGACAGAGTTTCAATTCAACACTATCCTACAGCTGTGAACTTGTCAAATCATATGAAAACATCTACAATGAATTCATCCATTACATATGAAAAAAAAAATCACCTCCAGCGACTGCATCCAGTGCACCCTTAGTGCGATGACGACCACTTTTATGCCTCTTATTTGATTGTTTCAATGGTCCCGCACGATGTCCAGCACCCATATTTTCAAAATATTTCTGAAAAACAGAAAGAACTGAAATAAAACACTCCCAATAAATAGAAATAACCAGTACGCACAGAGAATTCAAAAAAAAAACTCCCTCAGAAAGATTAGCATTAAGAGCTCCAGATTCTCCTTCGTTATCTTCAAGAGTCTGCTAATGTACAACTTAACAAAATTTCCTTTCAAACAATCTTAATCTTTTCAAATCACTACCGAACCATCATAATATCTGCTCCTAAAAACTTATCTGGACTAAAAAAAAAACGTTTGGAGTCCATCGAATATCGCAAAGGTTGCATTCATCCTTACAAACTAGGTTAAAGGAAATAGCATTAATATCATTTAACCTCATTACTGACCAATATATATAAAGGTTTTTTGTACAATGCGCATGGAAGTGAAGTGTATGATTACGGAATCAAGCCTAGCGTGCCTGGTTATTCCGGAAAATTTAGGATCAGTTTGAACCCGGCTCAGATTTATCCGCAACATCATCCTACACACTAATCACTGCACGGTATAAAATACGTATCCGATGAACGCCAACCTTTCATCATTTCAAAAACTCCATATAACAAATCTTTCAAACAAGAACAAGATGCATTTTATTTTTGAAAACAATTTTCCATAAAGGGAAAGAAACAACCATAAAACAAACTTTTATGACAAGGAAAAAATATCACAGGAAAACTTGAAACTTGAACACTGTTGATTCAAAGAAAATACCTGTGTAGAAATTGAAAAAAAAGCTTAGAAAATAAGGACAGCGGGAGAAAGAAGAAAATAAAACAAACTGCTATATTAGTAATTATCGGAACATCTATAGGAATATTGAAGGTATACTTGAAAAGAAAATTTATGAGTGTAAAAACAAAAAAAAAAAAAATAAAGGTATATATCACAATCATTCTATTCGAGCAATGAACTGGATAAAAAAGATGATTTTTTCTTTTCCTTTCTGAAAACGGCATTGAAACTCATAAAATGATGATAAACTCATCAAATAATATCGTTAACAACAGATTTGTCTGTTCAAATAACAACTATGTCCTACTGTAACCGTTAGATCAAGCTAGAAAGAATCTTATCTTTAATGAAAGATACAGCAAACACTGAAAGAGTTGATCACTGTCATTTATTGAGGCTTAAGATCCTGTCTAATCGCTTTCAAGAACTAATTTCAATAAAAAGCCATTCGTAGAAGAAACTGATTATTACCTCTCCACTAAACCAGAATCAAACAAATTACACTTTACCACCATCACATAGCACAAATTAATACAACAAAAGCGATGGAAGCGTTTAGGTTTATTCTGAACAGGAAGATATGTTAGGCAGAAAAAATGAGAAGGCAAATTGGATAACAAAAAGAAAGCCGAAAGTGATAACGACAACAAAACAATTAAAATTATGCCTACCAATTCCAACGCAGACTTTGATAATAACGAAATTGAACAAAAAATGCAACAGTATTTTTTCTTTCTCCTTTCTGACCCTTAGCGTTCCTCAGAATTTCTACAATTCATTTCCGGTAAAATCGCCATATTCCCAAATATTACGATGCTCACGGCGAGCAATTTTCTCAGTTTCCTGATATTCTGCAATCTGCAAAAAAAGCTACTGCTTATTTATGCATGTTTCACTCTCTTTAATGATATCTCCTATTTTTATGGCCAGATATAGAAAAAAATATTTGGTCATGAAAAGAGGGAGATATCAATGAAGTAGGGAGATCAATCTCATCCATGGAATCTTCCAGCTGCGATAAATGGCAATGGAATCGCCTCAAATTATATTATTTCTCATCAAACCATTCAATCTCCATGAGGATATTAAAGCAGATGTAAAGAATGATAACTAGCAATAATTGATCGCATACTGAAAATCAAAATCTGATAGAGGGCTAAGCAATTCGCTAATACGCCGCAAATTCATACACATTTTCCTCGTCAAACTTTACTTAGCCAACACGCTGTAGTAACTTCAAAACTTAATTCTACCAAGCAGTGCTCTATCCGTCTTACCAGTTCTATACTGATATACTTTAATGAAACAGAAGAGCAGAGATAATAAGCTACCAATGAAGCGAATCTCTTTTCTCGTTTTTGTTCTGCCAGGGCATGTCCTTCAGCAATAAGCGTTTTTGCAACATCAGTACGAGTACCATCAGATGTTTCAACGATTGCAGTGACATGTTCTACTCCAGCATTTCGATACTCGATGTTTATAAACATGAACGGTACTGAGAATAGAATTTGCTCAAATGCTATGTCCGAATTATTTGCATGGTCAGGATCGTTAGGCATTTGCAAGAAAGCCATTTGGTATTCACGTGCACCTGCTGGCTGTGCTGCATAATCAGCTGGTAAAGCGGCCATCGATGTCACATCAACCATTTCTCTCTATAATCAATCACCGATTCAAAAAAATCAACTGTATATGACCAATTACGAATTATATGGCAAAATACAAAAAATGTGTACTTAACATGAATTCATTCAAAATGTTCTAAAACTTCACACTGCTCAACTATAAAGGCTAATTCCTTTCATCTCGATCATAATGATGTCATGTAACATGTTAAAATTTCCAGAAAGCACCTATATACATGGCCTATAAGATGATGCATCACAGGAAAAATAAGAAGGTTGGAAACAGTTAACTAATCTCAGTCCACTCAATATTTACAAATAAATTGAAAATACATTTCCGAAATCGATATATAAAATATCGACATTTTTTCCTTTTATTCCTTCAACACGTGCTCTATACCACAATTTGTCTACCGAGAACCGTGCAACGCACAAATCTCCACGTCGTGGTACATATGCACCAACTACTGGTGGCTTTTTCCTCAGCTCTTCGCGCAATTCTTTCATCATTTTTTCAAGTTTTGGACCTGTAACATTCTTAGCAATTAGCAACAATTTGTTGTAGGTCATAAAGCTATTACTACTTTTCCTCTCAAAAATTTCAATCGACGCACCATCATCCACCGATTGAGCAGCAAACTTGAAATTCCCTCTCTGCACGTCGGTAACAACCACCTTCCGATAATTTATCGCGCGCTCCATCTTTTCATCTGCTGAAGCAATTTCAGCTTGCACAATGGCCTCTTCATCGACCCACTTTGTCCATATTCCTAATTTCGCCTAAAATTAAGAAAGAAAGTTCTGTAGCTTCCCTCCTGCTACTTTCCTCAAATAACTACTTAATCTTAGTGATTAGCATCCAGCAGGTATTATGAAATTCAAATGAGACAGTTTGATGAAACAGCCACAGAACTCTTCTTGTATTTTGTACAGAACAATATCCATACCTGCGATTGCACCCAAAAAATGTTTGTGACATCGATCATTGGTCAGAGATTTACAGTTGGTGCTGTTATGCAGGTAACAAAACCAACAAAGGAGAAAGACTGTCATTACCAATACTAGCATATTAAAAGTAGTGTAATAAAATTAACAGGTAAACTGATTTAGACTGAAAGATTCTACGAACCTAAATCCAAACACTTCATGTTTGAAAGAAATAACTATGATATGCGAAATATAAAGAAAATCCGGACCCAAAACAGAAATAAGAACTAACCTTCTTAGCTTTTTCCTCCGCAACACAAAGCTGAGAGTAATATGCACCTTTTTCAGCTGTGAAATGTACGCTTGCTAGACCATTTTCCACTAATGCTACACTCATGTTACAAAGACCCTGTTCAGTTTGCACAAACATATAGCCAATGAAACTTCCTGATTTATCCATACCTTCCACTTCTACTTCCACCTGAAAGAAGCTTTTCTCCCAGTCAAGAATTGTAAAATCTTGAAACTTTGATGAAGTAATATCATCGTACTGCTGAGGAATCAATAATAATATAGGAAATTCCGCAGAATTCCCATTTCTTAAAATGCTAAAACCAACCTCACGCTGCATGATTTTTGAACGTGTAAATTTAGCAGCTTCCTCGGCAAATGGTTCATTTTCACCAATCAATTTACCACCTGGACCAATACGAGCACCACGGGGACAATCAATACCAGAAAATAAAAAAGTTATAAGGCACGTTTCTTTAGGCACATACAGCCGTACCCGACTACCAGATGCAATAAATTCTACAATACCCTCAGATCGACCGGATCTTTGCAAATAAGGCAAAAACTGTTTCGAACGTTGCGCGTCCTGCAAAAGGAAACACTGTTTCAGTGCATTATCAGCTCAAGCTTATACAAAGAATAATGTGAATCGCATGAAAAAATTTTACTTTTTAAATTATAATATGTAAAAAAATCAAATCACAAATATGTGATTCAGAAAGAGCTCAAATTCTCATTTCCCGATATCTTTATCTTGACCATTGCTGACTCAGTTTCTTAGCTTTTTTTGTACTATTTTGTATACAAAATGAACAACTGCCAGACTGCCATATAAACCCAATGACCATCCTAGATTGCTAACAATTTTTTTTTACAGAGAATTATATAAAATCCCAAAAACAACGCAAAAAAATAGACTAACCCCTTGCAATTCTTGAATCCTCAAAACTGAACCCTTATCACCCAATTCCTTCTCGGCAAACAGACCCTTTTTGCTCTTTTCTGCCTTTGCCTCAGCAGCTAACAAAGCATCGTATTGCGAAGATCTAAAACATCCATTTTCTCTGAATTTATATTTTAAAATTTGAAAAGGAAACCAAGTTTTATTCTGCTTTGAAAAAGGAAAAAAATAGCAAAGTCTATACCTATTGTCATCATCACTTCTGTATCGTATTACCTTCGCCAAGCCCTTTGAAACAAGTGCTTCAGCAACATTCAATCCTCCTGACATGACGGTGCAACAAGTTTTCGCTGGAAACTGTTCTGTTTTTGGTTGTATATAATCAGTAATAATCTGAAACGAAATGTTGAACTAGCACAATAATTGAATTAGCATAAAAAACAATTTCATATGAAATTCTAAGAAATTAAGATGATTCAGCATGCATCGTTATTTTGGACTTTCCTTGGGTAAACTATTTCTTTCTACTGACATTTCTTTCTACTGACTATTTCTTTCTACTACTTGACGATTCATATGAGAAATCTTCTTAGATTTGACTATGAGATTTTGGAATAGCACTTTTCCCTTGGAATAAAAAAAGTGTATCACACTTTTGTATTGGAACATACCTGAACTTTCTTGCCTACTAATCGTTTGCGCAAAAATTCACGAGCTTCAAACAAGTAAGGAATATCGTACAGTGGCCGAAACTGTCGACCAATCTTATTTTCTGTGTCTCGATTTTCCTCCCTAAAAAGAAAAAATTCTAAACACGTTATAATATCGGAAGAGAATTCCTTACAACGTATTTTGGATAATACCATACTTGTAAACCGTAAGCAAGAGATCCCAAAGATTTAGGAACTTTAGATGGTACGACCATAGCAATACCTGTCGTATCTCATAATCATTTCTCCGATTCCTTTTTTTTTTTTAAATAGAAGATACTCCCCCAGTAAAAAGTGCTAACCTTGGAGGTCTTACAGATGACAGCCAAATTTTGATTTCATCACCATTTTCCTTCTGAACAATAAGTGCATCACCCATCACAATTTCAATCACTTTTGCAGTGAACGATTTCTTGTCAACACTTAACTGATTGGATGGTTGATAAGTACGCCAAAAACGAAGTTTTTTCTCTTTCGCTATCCTGAAACAACCTTGGCAAATGAAAAGAATGTGAATTTGCTATAAAACAAATAGATAAGGAATTTGTATTTGAAAATTCAACTTTTATAAACTAGTTAGTTGAATTTGGAACAGTTCCGAAATTATGAACGAATACGCTGCATAGGCATAACGATTACTGCTAAGTACTGCGATATCCTTTTTCGGAATCGTTATTGTGCTAGCTTCTATCGATAAAGTCATCCCAATATTGACTGTTCCCTTCCAATCATTATCGGTAATTTTCTGTTAAAAAATATATGATAGAAAAAGCTGCTAATATTAAAACCTACCATTAACACGAATTTTCAGGGCATTCTGGAAAAAGGCAAATACAGTTAGAACATGATCAATGAAAAACAAGACTTAAATGCCATTCAAGCCTTATCCAGATTTATTATTGCAGCGGAAGTGGAAGTAGATTGTTATTTTCCTAACAAAAGTGTTCGCTCAAACTAATAGTGCACACTACATCTTTGCTAAATTCGCAAACTGTTTTTATTAATTAGCTAACTAATTTGAGAAAGAAGTGATGTATGACGAACCTTTCCGCTGCACGTAGTACTTCCGGCCCTGATGTAGCCAAAGCGATCGACCAATCAACACATTTTGCAAAACCTTCTTTAAGCAACAGCTCAGCAATATTCCCTTTCGGATGTATGACAGAACCAACGAAATTTTGGTTAGAAGTACTTTCCAGAATAATTTCCACATCCCTTTGTAGCAAACGACACTCGACAAAATAACGTGCCTCTTCAGCATAGTCTTCCGCTCGGCCATCCGCTCCAGCCCGTATAGCTGGTGCCTGAAAATCGAATTTTTCAAAATTTCCTGTTTCATACAAAACTGACTTTCATAAATTTCGAATTTTTTCATGGTAATCTGCTCATGGTTAGAGCAATGATCTCATTTGGCAACTTAACCTAAAATAGCAAAGTGCTCATGAGATGATATTCCCTTAACCTTAGATATAATGCAAACCTATTTATGACAAACTGCACATCCGATCCACTGCTAACTAACATTTAATTTTATGAAATCACAGCTTGATCCAAACCAATAAAACAACTCACTTTAATACCTGAGAGCATAAGTGTTATGTAATAAAAATCAGGTAACAGGAAAGCACGGATGGTTGAACCATCTCGCACTTGCTCAACAATCGCCTTGATCTTTTGTTGTTTGAATGTATCGACAAGAGCTCGTGGATTTTCTATAACCCATTTCACATGTCGTACCTGCTAACGCGACAAAATTATTTTACAGTAATCATTAAAGTATTGGGAAACAAAGGAAAAGTAAAAAAAAAATAGAAAACAAAGATATGGTTATAATAGGAGAGAGAAGATTAAAAAAACTTGACGGCTTTTCATTTTTTTTTGATTTTTGAGCAAATCTTAGAAAAGAAGGTTCAAAGTCGTGTCCCAAATTATACACCTACAAGCCAGGAAAAAGATCAACTATTTTTGCATTACTGAAACTTGCTGCTCGATACAAATTATACGACCGAGACTCCACACTAGGATACTTTCTTGAGACATACATCATTTTAGCGAACGTTTTTTGGTTTATGTATTCGTTTTTTTCTCATCAGTGGCTTACTATTGCTCGTTTTGAATAAAAGGAATAGTGTCAAATAAAAAACGAATATGAGTCCTTTTATTTATGTTCAGAATAGAAAATAGGAAAGCAGCACGAGCATCAGAGTAAGCAAAATAAGTTTCCATCGAAATTATCACTAATATTAAGCCTAATGATATGCTCCCATCTTCTAATAAGCTAATAGGAGTAATAAATTTATGAGTTTTATAAGTGCCGAAATGGCATAAAAGCTTTCAATCCTACATGTTGTTGTGCGCTTCCTTCCTCTAACGCCCACTTCCCTTTCTTCGCAGCTTTCGCAGCTTCTTGCAACTCCAGCAGTTTAGTGCTATATTCGCTACAAATACGGAATATAAACTATGATTTAGAACCTAAGATTTGGAATAATAAATAAAATTACACGATTTCATCCAATTTTAAAACAGAAAAGCACTTCATTTATGATTAGCAGTTTTAGAAACATGTAACTTACTCAGCAACACGTCCTACTCTCACTTCAACCCAACCCTCAGATACGCAAGTCTCCGTTACATTTTCGGAATTTTCAAGATCTGAAAAAAGAAATACCGGAACTAATGCGATGTAAAATCTTTGTATAACCTAAAATCTGTGTAAACACGTGAATATTTACCTACGTGAATTAAGATTTGTCGTCATAAAAAATCATTCTTGAAAAAGAAGTAATTTTAATATCCAGTTCCTATTAAAATTTGGAAGCTTTAAACATCATTCAATTCTCAAAGAAAATTTACTTGTTCCACCGAGATATATCCGGCCATGATCTCTTCCCGATGTAGCCGTATAGTCGCACCGAAAAACAACATTTTGTCCAATAAGTTTCTTGCGTAGAAATTCTCTCGATTCCCACGCAAAAGGCTGTAAACCGAAAAAAAAACATATTTCTTGAAACATTATAAATCAAGCTTATTACTTTTCATCCACATTCCAGTTGAAATTTTTAGATATCTCGTTTACTCTGAGTTTATACCGTTTTTTTTCTAACGTTAGAACTATCAAGTTTCACACTTTAATTGCATACTTTACCTCCTTTAAATTATTTGAAACTTCCCACTTACCTCGTCTTCCTTGCCGGATTCGGCATCCGTTGGTCTCTTAGCCAGCCGCGGTGCAATCACATTACTTAAATATACCGTTACCTCCTTCGGGGGTCCGTTCATCGGTGGACCCTGAAAAATACCCCTACCTACATCAGTATGGTGATATAATTCTTTCTTTTAATATTCCACATGATCCTTTTGTATTGTACGCATGTTACGTGTCTATGCGATACGACTGAATAAATTATCAGCAAATTAAGTGAAAATGATGAATTTCCATCGTTTGAAATATGCCTGCGGTATCTTAAAATTCTTAAGAGATTCTCTCGTTTGCTGACTTAGTGCTCGAATGAAAACTACACTATACATTTCGGGAATCCCAAATTAGCTGGCTGTAATTTCCAGATTTCAATTTCCGAACCAAATCAATCACTTAAAAACTGGATAGAAAGAGAAACATATGCACACACTTAGCCTCGTCAAACTACGAACGTGTTTGACATTTCCATTTGACCATTCAAAAATCACTTAATACAAATACCTTGGCTTTGTGCGCCATGTATGCCTAATAGAGAGAAAGCTAAAATTATAGACTGGACTCGAAAATACCTGTAGAACGACAGCATCACCACATAAAACTTGTTTCACCAAGCCTCGCTTCAATGAAGGTGCTTGTTGCGGCTGGGTTTGTTGCTCCGACATCTCTCAAGCCTTGCAAGGGAACCTTGAAATGTTTCTTCGCTATATACTTACTTCAGCCAGATATCATTCAGCTATTGCATTTCGAACCAGATTATTTCAGCAATGAATCACGACCACAATTATCTTAGTAGTAAATTTCTCTCTTACCAATCATTTTATTCCGATGTCTTGACTTTTCAAATATTGTACAATGATTTTCGACCAAATGTTTTTACATTATTAATCTTCGGATATCGATTATCTTTGTCAATGAATTTTGATCAACCAGTATTAGCTGTTTTTTACAGAAAGAGCTATCTAAAAAATTCTCCCGAAAATCAATTACCACCTATTGCGTTTGACTTCCTTAATTTTTGTAACGTTTGTCACCGAAGATGCATGTATATTGTAGAAATTCTTGCAAAAACCGATAATAAGCATAAATGACAATAAAATATAATATGGCTTAAAAATGACAATCGCCACGCATGAAATTTAAGCAACTCAATGTTCAATTCTTTTTAACTTCATAAATATCACGTAAACTGACCATCCTATCTTACTAACCTTCAAGCTATTCCATCAATTTCACCATTCACATCAAATAAACGATGTGTAAACAATAAAATTTACAAACTGCAAAATGCAATTCCAACCAGGCCAAATTGTGAATTAACCGTTGACACGTTCATCGTGTTACAAATCACACCTTGTATTGCAACACAAAATTATGCAATGAGAGAATGATAAACGTTAAACATCACTTCAAGTTGTCGAAAAAGAATAAACTGTTTGAAAATATATGCATATCATTGAAAGGAATTCTGAATATTATGTTAGATAGTATGATAATCATAGTAGCATAAATCTTTTAGATCACAAATTAAAAGATATAAAACATTTTGATTGATGTAATACTTAATGATATAATCCATGAAAGATGGTAAAAAAGAGAAAGGAGAAGGATAAACTACTGTGGAATAAGACGGTAAATCGTGGTTTCCAACAATTTCGTCTTCTTCTTTTTTTTTTTCTCATTTTAATTTTTCGAAAGGGAAATACAAATTTCTTCCGTTAGATTTTCCTATTCAAAAAAAAAGTTAAAATGAAAAAATAAAAATAATGTAAAAGGTTTTTATAGTATTTGAGAATCATCCAATATTTCACCACAGGAATGCACACTAATGATAGTGTTGATACAACCTTAGATATAATATTAAATGCGGTTTGTTTCTAGTTAATGCCATTTGACTTATTTTCATATCGTTCAATATTTCATTACTAAATTCGTTGAATTTCCTATTGTCTACCATGAAATCTTGTATTATTGTCGCATATGTGGATATGTACGTGTATATTTGTGAATTTATTTGATTAAAATAAACAATTTATTTTGAAATTCATCGATTTTCTTTTAAATTAATGAACATTTGTTGGCAAACATAGACAAGTGCACATTCATCAGTAACTACTTTCTTATACAGTAATAAATATTCCTGTTCCCGCTTATCTAATCTGTTAAGCGGGAAGTGAATGAAAAGGTTACTGAATGATCAAATCATCTACAGTGACCCGAACTCCATTACAGCTATTCTATTTCCGATTTTCTTCACATTTTAGCTTTAAAAATTAACAATGATACATTATACGTGGCATGCACTTGTATCTCCACCTGTTACAGCAATATTTTTAATCAATGTGATAACATCTTCGTCTAACTGATACTGATCAGCCAACTGTTTGAGTACATCGAAGTTTGTATATCCTGCCAAAAATGCATTCATTTTTGTAGCCAGTAATGAACTCACTACTTCTTCATTATTTAGATTCAACTGCAATAGAAATTCTTCATTATAACATCAAAATATGAACAAATGTTGCGACCACTGACTGAAACAAACGGATGGATCGAATGATAATGACCTATTTAAAAAAATTATTTCTACAATCATTGAAAAGAATAACATATTTTCTGGTAATCATCCTACTATTATTTAACCAATTGTGACCTTATTTTTACTAAAAAAATAATCCAATGACTAACGGGAAAGAAGCTATACATGAATCCATCAATGGGATCAAAATATTTTATTCAAGCGAAAGGTTCAAGTTTATGAAAGGCTAAAAAATTCTACTAAAAAAAAACGTTTTTTTCTGTCAACCTTTTTAAAAATTGCCGTTTGACAACGCAACCAATATTTTTGGTGATAATCTTCTGCCTGATAAAATTGAACCAGTTTTTGAACATATGTATCTAGCTTCTTACTGCCGTATTTCTCCTGAAAAACTGTTAACAATAAACTTTCATATCTCTTCGAGATTTTTTCGCCAGCATTATAAAGGGTTTTCTTCTATCTCTTTATGGTAAATTTCCCAGCAACTTAAGACAAGGTTTAGGTTATTAGACTGTCAGATAGTTCATTTGTCACAATTAATCTAGAATATATCGTATTTAGTATCAAGTGATTTTTCTACTAACAAAATCGACAATTTCACCATAGCATGCAAACAAATCATGGAAGAATAAATAAATCAAGCTGTTGAATAAAACTAAAATCAGAAAGGTATCCAAATATGATAGTTTCTCACATGAATGAAATAATATCTTTAAAAGAAATTTTTGCTATGATATTTAAATCACCTGTATCTTTTTCAAACTCTCCTTGGCCATCTCTTTTTGTTGATCATCGACGTAAAGAATTGCGGATTTGTACTGTTTTTTATATTCCGTAGTTGGATTATGATGTTCCCAGAAATAATTAAGGATTTTATCGTAGCTTATAATCTTTTCGTCAAACTGAACTTCCGTTACTTCTGTAATACTCGAGATCTTCATTGTGATAAAACGTAGTATTTTAATGAATGAAACAATATAACTTATATTTCAATTCGGAAAATTCTGAGACTTTACCGCTCGAATTCTAAAACCTACATAGTGACCTAGAATTCGATAAAATAACTTCCCTCACCTTGATGTTAATTTCTAGTAAATTACACAGATTGTAGCAGTTGTTTGACATGAAGCTAAAAATTCTAGAATAAATTCTAAGATTTCCAAAACAGGTTATACGTTAACAACTGCGAAAGAATCTATTCCGAACTTTTGCGATAATAAATGAGAGAAATCTTCAAATAAAAAATAAAAAAGAATATGCGGTAGAAAGTGGACAAGTTGGAATGAATTAAACGTATAATTTATGGAAATATTTCTTCAGCAATCATAATTCATAAAGAGATTAAGAGATGAAGATTGAAAAGATAAGTGAGAAAAGATTTCCTCCATATAAAATAATTTTTCAGTTGGATGTGTTAGATGTGCAAAAAAAAAAAAGAAAAAAGCATATGGAAAGTTTGAGAAAATTAAAACAAACATACCTGTATGATCACCGATATTCTGATAATTAGGTGTCGCTGTGGTACCACCAGCATAACCAACTCGTGTCGCCAAGACACCATCCAATTTTGCGAATGTTGATTCAGCACCCCAAAAGCATTGCATTCCAAAATAAGCCTTTTGCAAATTAGCCATTTTTTTTTTTCCACTAATAAATTTAGATTACAAAATCAAATTTATTTAATTAATACCTGCAAGAAAAGAATGAAAAATCACGATCATTTCTTTCAAGAGTTTTGTTTCATCTGTTTATATTAGCATTTATAGGAATAAATAATTTCGGAAATAACAAGTCGGAATACTATCAGAATTATTCAATTATCTATCTTTTCCCAATGATAAATTTGTAATAATCATTTTAAAACTCTCCTGAAATGCCTGTCTAATGCATTCATTTTTTTTTTTCCTTACACTATTACTAGCAAATAAATTGTCAACAGAGAATTGCAATTAAGTGATCAGTGTGACCTATATAGCTGGATACTTATAAATTTGAATGTAGTTGAAAAAAACCGGTAGTAATTAAAGAACAATTAAAAGCTGATAATTTAAACAGTTGTCACTTATAATAAGAATTGAAATGGAGAAATTCTGAAATTTCAAGAAATAATTTTAGAAAGATTGTAAATTAATGTAAAGAGATAAAAGTCGTTTCTTGTTCATAGGAATAAACTGACTGATCATCATCGGTTTGAAGATATCAAAGAACCAAAAAGATCAAAGAGTATTCCTTTTCTTGTTTCATGCAAATGATTTTGGTAATTTGAACAAAAAAAAGAAAAAAAAAGTCAACCTACATATATATCATATATTAAGAGTTCATTCGTGTAATTTTATGTATCATCAAGTATTCCTGCATACAAAATATATGTAAATTTTTAATTGTAACATATGCTAGTGATCAAGTAAAGCCAAATTAATGCTAATTGTACAGCATTTTTATGCAAATTTCCTTTTAAAACAGCAAAAAAAAAAAAAAGGTTGGTGAAAGATATACACCTTCCTTTCCAACTTAATAAAACAATCTAATCATTATCAAATTTAAGTTAGGTATAAATTGTTCACTAATGGTATGACAATTAATCTATGCTTGCCGTTTCTAAAATGTTTCAAATTTTGGAAAAATTCTATTTCAGTTAAATATTTTTTAAATTTTCTGATTTCTTTTGGAAGCAATTGCAATGATGCTATTTCATTCTTTTTTTTTCCTAGCCAATAATTATTTTGCTGACATTTCAATGTTCCCGGAACAAGAATTGACCATTTTGAAATCATAAAGAATAACCCAAATGACGAAAGACTACTCATCTTTGAAAACTCACATTGATTATAAAGCTCTTACTGAATTAAACCAATTTTTTTGACATAATATGATGACATGCAATGTATGCCTTGTCACATCAAAGAACAATTCCGAAATTTTGCAAAAAGTTTTAAAGGATTAATGAAACTTTGATACGAATCATCACAGATGATGTTAATAATCGAGCTTACAAATTTCAGCTCAATGCAAAATTACATAATTAACTTATTTGGATTTCAATTATAGCATGTTAACAAGCCTAATGTCGCAACCATATCGAAAACACCAAGTCTTAGTCTCTATCAGTAATTAAAATCCTATAGAATTACCAAATTCAGATCCTCATTAACATTCCAATCCTTTAGCCAACAAAAAGTTATTTTGAGATTTAAAAAAAAAAAAACGATAGTTGAATAAAAATTTGAAATATTTGATACACTAATTACTCCATAACAAAACATTTACCTATAAGTGATCATTCTGTCTTATCAAGTAAATGAGCCGGAGAATAGGAGGATCTAAACAAACAAATGTACGATGTGAGATCAAAAACCAAACCGCTGGATGACATGAGACCAGAACGAGAAGTAAAGACGAAACATTTATAAATGCTAAAGATGAAATATCTCTTATACTAATTCAAATATTCTCTGCTAGTCGAAAAAGCAATCACATAGCTTCCAAAAAAACTTCTTACCAAAACTTAGTACCTACCCCATAAAAAAAGTAAATTTCAATCTGTAAGTCAAAAGTATTCATGAAAAGTTGAAATTTAAAGAAAAAAATTGTACAAGAAAATGAAGAATACAATAAGTGAAAATAGTAAGGAATTTTCCATTCGCTTGTAATTAACAAATTCATAAATACTTTAATTACTTCATATAAATTTCTGATCAAATTTACATCAAAATACATAATCGTATATTTTTCCTTTCAAAATTCATGCAACAACAAATTTTTAATATCTTGAAATTCATAAAATTCCAAAACATTCTATCCCATAGCTGGGATCATTTAATAGTTCCTACAACTCCAATCGTCGATTACTTCCAATCACTTTGATGGTAAATAGTCTACTAACATCAGCCGTTAATAACTTAAGTGTAATCTTAACCTAAATCCAAAACTTTTTCTTTCTTTTTTTACTTCTTATACCATTTAAAAACGTTTCAGTCTTAAACTACACGTGGTAAGATGTATCCCATAACGAAAAATTTAAAAAAAAAAAGAAAACATAACAAAAAGACTGAAGTAACAAATGTTACAGTAGTACTTATATTACTTTATCATCTTCCTGTATTTTATGAGATATGACGAGTATATGGAAATAGTTGAAGAAAAAATAGCTAGCAAAAAATATTACATGAATGTTATACAAAAGGGAAAACACAAAACATAATGATCAATTTTTCAAATTTCAAAACATACCCAATCGAAAGTTCGGGATTATTCCTCGGCAGTATATTTACAAAAATACATAAAGTTTTTTCAGTGATATAAATCCAAATCATGTACACTTGTTGGGGTAAGTAGTCATACTAGAAAGAATTTGAACAGAAATACTGGAAGAGTTCGATTTTCATCACTTTTTTCATAAATTCTTAATTAAAATTCAGCATCTTACAAAAAAATTACAACCTAAAATTTCAAATTCTCAAGCTTTTCAAAAATCCCTTAGATGATCACTGAAGAGGGCATTATACCGAATAGTTTTGTAAATCCCTTTACTTTCCCAGCTCTAATAAGGATGATAAATCATAATGGTGTATTGAAAAGCATGATAGTCACGATGTACAAGAAAGACATTAAACCATTCAAATGCACACAACACACAAAATACTAAACCCGTATCACTTAATAATAAAATTTATTTAACAGTGTCAAAAAAAAATCATCGAGAAAATGGAATCGAACAGACCAGTAATGACTGCCCGTAGCTCAGCTGCCAAGCCAGAGATAAACTCGACATGTCTACGTTATCAAGCCTGAAAAATTTACAGATATATGAGAAAATAGATCAAGTTCAAAAACATAATTAATTAAAAAGTAGCTATAACCTTGCAGCTTAAAAAGACCCTGGAAACTATTTTTTCGTTTTCTTGTTTTTTTTTTTTAAATCAAAACTAGTTCAACCGATTAAAGGAGGTATACGAAATGTCCTATGGTAACTCATAGGAAACATTTTTCGAAAGCTGAATGTCATATAACTATAATGACATCCGCCATATCGTATCCTTAAGAAATGACTACAACAAATGATTGAAACCTCGAAAATATCAGACAATTTTAAAATATAAATCGTCGTGGTTTATAGATTCCGAAAGTACGTTACAAATTTCGCTCCAGTTTTTGAAGTCTAAAAAGGGTGACAAAAATTAAATCCACAGAAGCATGCTAAGACCTGAGCTCGTTTTATTTATTTAATTGTTCGGTGGTACGTGCTCGTCTGCGCCGATCCTGTCGTTCCTGTGCTAACGTAAAATAGTTCCCATGTGTTAATTTCGGAAACTGCCCTAATTTTTTAGAAGAGCTAATTATTGCGCGTTGTTTTTGTCCCCACAAATATCCATTATGTGATCCTCCCATGATTTTCGTCTTTTTCTTTCGATGTCTCGAATTCTGAATGTTAGTGGCCAGTGATGTTAACGAATTTCTAGCAGATGGACCCGCATAACCCGCCAATTCTGAATAACTCTTCACATTTAAGTAAGCAACATCGGTTGATAGTAAGTTAGTACATGCCATTGAGGGAAAAGATGGAACATTATCAATAGATTTATAATCAATAATAGGTTCATTCCAGATTTTAATTTGTGTTTCAACTAATCCCAGCGAACTCTCTTTGTTACAATCGTAAGCGAAGATGGCATCATCTTGTCTTGAAGTTGTTGCAATTATCATTTCACGCTTTAAAATTTCTCCATTATGATTAGTCTTCGGAATTTGCATCACTTCGATCAGAAAAAATCCAAGTTTTTTGATCCCGAAATCAGTAAAACCAGCATCACCACACATGAATGAATCCAATGTACGGCTTCCTATAATGAGAGCATCCAAAAAACATCGATCACTTGTTTGATGAATTGGCCGAATCAAAAATTCAACGGTTGGTAATTTGACGCTAAGTTCAACTTGTTGCTGCATATATTGGAACCAAAGAAATTGATTTTCCACACAAGGTGTTGGCGGAACCACAAGAATGCGCAACTGGAACTGTAACAAATACACAAGTATATCTTTCAGAATCTTGCCGTATTTCGACGGTGCCATCCCTTCAGCTAGTTCATGTGCTCCTGATGACAATACCACTGCAATACATCCATTACCAAAATGAATTTTCTGCAAAAGGAGAAAGAGAGTTGACATCCGTTCAGATTCTTCTAATTTCCGATTATCGATTCCGAACTGCTGTAAAAATCGGCCATCTATGTCGCTAAATCGTTTACCCCACTCGATATAGCGTGCTAGGCGTGTAGACGTACTATCACCCATAAACATCAGCGGACAATTTTCAGTGAATGCAGTTACATGTTCAGCACGCACCATTTCAACAGCCCAACCATATTCATCAACCTCACAACCAATTTCCCAATTTTGAGATAGCTGATCACGCTTAAGTCGAGTACCTTCAAACACCGAATCAGTCCACTTTAATCGAACCGGAAAGAATTCTGTAGCATCTAGACACATTTTCAGTCGTTTACATCGTTGAATCCAAAAATCGAGAATAGTCAGCATCAACGGTCGACATTCTTTCAATGGAACTAAATCGAAACGACTTCGTAACTCAGTATACTTGGTGAAAAGATCAAAAGGTGCCGTATGATACAATTGGCGGTAAATATCATTTTTTAGAGTATTGGGAATTTTCGCATCTCGTAAATGAAGATAGTAAAAGTGATGCGCCATCGTCGGTGGTGCGAGATCAGGTGAAACGTAATCGACAATTAACGGCAAACATAGCTCATGGCCACCGTAATTTGAATTACAAACACTGTACGGATGAAGTGGTGAACCATGTTGAATAAGGGCTATTTTCCGTGAGTGAACACGTTCGCCCTGCACCACATCGTAAAGCTGACAAACTGTCTGTATGAGATCGGATCGGTCCGGAAAGCCTGAAATCTTGCTATATTAATCCAGAGAAATCGAATTTGAAAACGAAAAAGAACGCTGAAAAGTGATTCTCATTTTAAATCATGCACCCATATTTCGATCTGTTTTCTGCAAGAATCTAGCTGTCACAAAGTATCAAAAATTAAAACAAGCGCAGATATCATCTTCAAAATTACGAAATTCCTACCATTATGAGATAAAACACAATTTGAAATAGTTGTCACTGGTGTTGTTGCACTCGGAATCGGCGGATCGTAATCTAAATGTACAGCTAACGGACAATACATTGACATATTCCTGAAAAACAGAATATATTAGATTGAATCAGTCTGACAAATATGAACGGCCGTTTAGACCGTAACGTAGAAAATATCTTGCAGATCAACCTGTGATTCACAAAGAATACAATAATAAATTCGAGATAAGTATCATAACGGCACACAGACTCCAATCAACCTAGTTCTTGCATTTCCAAGCTGAACATTATCATATATGAGTGTCTCCTGCGACCACTTCATACGTTAACAAAATCTAATCATTCGAATCAGCAAATCTGTAAGTTAAGTTTGTTGATGGATATGATAACTGTTTGTTAACGAACATGATAATATTCTTTGTATCAAAATAATCACAAAAAAAAGAAGATATTTCTCTGAATACTGAGACCAGCAGTTCAAATCTGATGGAAATGAACAACTGGAATTATTTATTGAAACGAATAACAATCTGACAACAATTAATAAACGGAATCATTCATAAATGAACAAAATCATCATCAGTTCAAGAAGTTAAATGTTAAGAAATAATTCAAATAGATGGTGATCTAAATTGATAGTATGTTAAACAAGAGATCATAAATGATCTGGTGGACAAATCATTCCTAAACTTCGATTTTCTTGTTTCTCCTTGCCTTTCATCCATTTTTCTTGCAAAAGTTTTACAAATGAGATGAACTACATACTGAACACAGTTAATTCCAGTTTTAATCCTTACAGAATAATCCAACAGTATAATTCTAAAAACTAATAGACTGTAAAGAAGTGGGACAACAAATAACAAAATTTAAAAAGTATTCTACAAGTTAAAAGATGTTAAGATGTGGGAAAACTTCTCAAAAAATCCAATTCCATGGGATGCAATTCACCGGGAATGATCAATGAATGTAACGGTGGTCCCATGTCTACATCGCATAATGCCTCCAAAGAGCAAAAAACAATCTGAAATTAACAAATGAATCAAGTCCTCTAAGTATTTTAAAGGCAAGAACTTCTTCAGCTTGAATAAATGACATTTTTTGCCGCCAAATCAAGAAAATTGTTTAGTCACAACTTAATGTCAGCTGTACTCCATGCCATTACCACCCTCATCCAACAGTATTGAAGAACATAGAACAAAACTGTTTTGTACAGATAAATTTGCGGTCAAATTGTTTCATCCTAGCTGGAATACCAACTTTTCATAGTTTTTAACAAATAAAAAATAAAACCTTCTGGTCATTCCATCCTACCCTTGCCAGGGCCACACATTCTGTGCTTCGTGTGTATGCTAAAAAAGAATTATCAACAACTGAGCAATATCACAGTGAAGGATTATTAGAATAAACATATAGTAATACTGATAATCTATAATGCAGTGTTAAAAAAGGAATGCAAAATAATCCCATACAAAATTTACATACGAAACGAAATAGAAAACATATGATTTTGATTTATTCGAAATGATTTTCCATGCAAACTGTATATATCTTTAATGTTTTTTGTTGTCTTATGTTGTGCATTTAATACATATTTTTTCTTGGGACTCAAGAACAACAGCTTCATCTATGTCAGTTAACATCATCGAGTGCTCTATAATTTATCATGCCAACCCTTATCATTTTCGCAGTTTTATTTATAATAGCATGTGCCAATGTTGCTCGCACTTGTCCATTTATATCGAAGCGAAATTGCAAGCTTTTTCTATTAGTTATTAGTAGATGCGATTTAGAGCTTACTTGCTTTAAAAACTTACTTGCAAACCTTGTTTTCACATCGCTTTAAAATTTATTCCTGTGAACTTACCGGGTTCCATTTTCTCGTCCGCTATCCGATTTGCAATTTCTAGTAGCTGTTTTGCTGCCTCAGAACAAGTCATATATCTTGGAGGGAGGAATTCCTTTCGGCCTCTGGAATTTTCAATTCGCAGATGACAATTTTGCAAAATATCAACTCTAAACCAATGAAATGCATACAACTAAGATAATATAAAAGGAGAGAAATAAGCACGCTTATTGCTGGTTCAGTCTTTCCAAAGGAATTTTACGATTCCCCGGCTATTAATCGATCAAGATTTACATAGTTTTAAAATGATCGGTTCCTATCAATGAAGACTTCTTTTTTTCTTTCTTTTTTTTTTTTTTAACTCGGAACAGGTATAGTACCTAACATGAGCTATGGAGAAAAATTTTTTCTACATTTTCATGAAATCAATTCAAAAACGAAAATTTCCATAGCGTTCTGCACGAACACTTCAAGGGAGTTAAATCGAACTAATACAAACCTCATCATATTTTCAACTGACTGCTCCTTCGTTTTGATATCTGAAATATAACATGATTTTCTGAATTGCAATTCATTATTCTAGATAAAATACTACAAACTCAATTATTATCCAGATCGTTCTGACGTCAAACGACTGGAGAATGAATGTAAGGAACGAATCTCCCCCTCTTCAATGTCTCAGGTAAACAATTATAGCTTCCATAGTAATTTTCATCGTTTAAATAAGTACTGCTAATAAAAGGAAAAACAGACATTGCAGTTTTCCGAAATATATGAAAATACAAACAACATAAAATGATAATTGTTGACCTAACAAGCACAATGTATGTAATCCTCGTTTTTTGTTCTCTGCAATTTTGAAGTAATAGGAATCCGGATGCCAATTTTCTTCCCAAAAAACAATTGAAATGATCTCACCAAATTTATACAGCTGAAACCGATACGGAAATCAGCAGTAAGAAATAATGCAGAAAAATGATTTCTCAGAAGCAAAGCTTACAACTCCTGTAAAATTTCGAAACATTCTACGGATAATAAAAATGACAACGCTTTTTGAATACCTGCAAACCACAACATCCTACAGCACTGATAATTGAAGCGTTATGCACAATTTCCACATTAACACCTGCTTTTCGAGCAGTTAAAACTAAATCCGCATGTGTTGTGGCACCAAGAGGATCGCCAACTACTAACAGACATACATCAGAATTGAATGCTTCGTCTAACACAACATCTGCAAAACCTTATGAAAATAAGAGCTTAAAAAACCAACTTCAACGGTACATAGTTTGTCCTATGAAATCAGAATTCTAGCAATATATCGGTAGTTCCTTTGCGACAATCACTTTCCTGATGGTAATTTCGGTGCTATATACTCTGCTCACCGTTGGAAGTAAAAAAAAAAAAGAAATCGAAAGTTCCTAGTGGTCATTATTCTACGGGGAGACGAACATTTGTTATACACGATAATACAAACTACAGTGTAGTGAAGTATAAAATGATGTCAAACAACCTGAAATTAGATTAATATTAATTGATAACAGCAACAACTATTAAGACGGTTAAAGAGTACGTTTCACGAAATTTGAAAATTCAAATAGAATAAATTAATAAAACTACTAGAATCTAGTTCAATCGTTGTACGATCGGCCTCGTCAATTTCTTTACCGAAAAATTCCTCCAACTTCTTTTTATCCAAGCCAAACGACATAATACTTGTGTAAGTTTCCAAGTACACATGGGAACATTTCTGTACAGTAGCCATTCCTTTCACCGTTATATCATCAACATTACCCAGACCCAAACCGACTAAATATAACATTGCAGTAAAAAAATTTTAGCCCGTTTCAATAAACCTGAAAGAAACACATTCCTCCCATGTTACCGATGATGACACATAACATTTGAGGATATATCAAACTGATCGATTCAATTTGATTCAACGATTACTTCCTATAAAGTAGACAATATCCACCTATCCCGTCAACTATATTTAAGATAGTTTTCGTTTGATAGATAAAGATGCCAATTAGAAACAAGCTCATATTTATGTACCAATCAAACTGACATGAGTGTGTCAACATCACACTACATGCTAAACCAGTTCGCTCCACTATCTATGCAGTTCTGTCATCATCACACTCTCCCCTGTATCATCAAAGATATAACTTTCATCGATAAATTTATTTAAATGCAATACAGTGTAAAGGGCCTAGATCAATATATTACGAAACGAAAATACCAATCATATCAAAAGTCCCGCACCCATCTAAAACAAATCAGGAGGATCGTTACGGATTTCCAATTCCAACAGTTCTCAAACATGCTTCCGCGCCATGTCTTTTTGCATGCATCCATATTAACTTTCAATATTCAAACCAACAAACCAATAAATTCCATTTCGGAACAAAAAAGCAAATTCCCAGCATTCAACAGTCTTCATTAGTTTCACGCATGACCCACGAGAAGTACGTGAAATCCGACTGCCGACTGCAAAATGTAACAAACAGTGTGCAATCCTCAGATAAAAATTTATTAATCATCGGCAAGAATCACAACTATAATGACATGATCAGAATCTTTGATCAGAATCTTCATTTCTCTTCTTATGCACCTATTCAACTTAAATTTATGCTCCTATGTAAGCCTAATTCTTGCACGTATTGTCTTGCATGTATTGTCTAGTTATGCAATAAGTCATACGAATTTCTAATTAACAGGGAACTCTAACACGACTTTACGTTCCTGCACGAACTTTCAAATTACGCAACATCCCGCACTTACTCATAGTCATACGTATAAAATCATGAGAAACTTTTCAAGATATAAAAAAAAGAAACCATAAAATCGTCGAACATGGAATAACGATGTAATTACTGGAACAAGAGAAAAAATGCAATATACAACCAAAAAAAACTGTGAGTTTCAAGACAACCTGGAATTACTTGGAACTTTAAATTTACTCATTCCAGATCATCCTGAACATTATGCTCAGCTTACAATTAGAAAAATTTATGAATTGCAAAAATGACTTTCAATATAAATGATCGCAAATGTGCCCACACAATAGAAATTCTAAAAAAATGTTTTCCAATTCTGTTTTCTTATGAGGCAAAGTGAACAAAAGCTATTAGCAACTTTTCATCCATGCAGAAAGAAATCCTGAAAGTGGAAGCACAAAATGTAAATTAGAAATGTAAATTAGATTTTCTAACATTGTCTCGTTCAAATTTGAAAATAACGACTGGATGACCGAATTTTATTCAACTATCTATCGCTTTCTTTTAGAATCATGTCGTCGAATCAGTTGAACAATAATTCCTGTGTTGATTGCAAGGAAGAACAATGAAGAAAGCCAAATTAAGCAAAATGTATCCAACCCGTGAAATTCAAATAAATATGCAGGACAGAGCCAAAAAGCTTGTCCCAGAAACCACAAAATTATCAAATATACCGCTGTCTTGGTTGAAATCTGTAAAACAAGAAGTCCAATGAAATTTAATTCTCATTCAAAAATGACCAGCAAATTTTGCTTTGACATAAAATGATATGACCAAAAATCCATTTCGGTTTAATGTTTCAGTTCATACTACAGCGATATAAAACTGGAAATAGATCGAAAAACTGACTTCAATATTTCGTTGAGCAATCGGTAATAAGCAAATGTACCAGATGAAATACTGACTAGTGCATACTTTATTAAATGAAACAAATACGACCGTTGTAATTAGCCAACAAAATGGGAGATCATCATGAAATCTGTAAGAATTTACACTTAATTTTTTGATGACTGCATTAATATTTTGGTGCAAGAATTAAATTTAAAAGACAATGAATAGTTCTATATTCAGTTGAACGCTAACGTCTTCGAGGAAAAGGAATTAATCTGTGCTTACTTAACTAACTTGAGCAAAAGCAAGATTTCAATTTATAACTGCTACTTTCTTGCCAAGTAACTTACCTTTCACTGAAAAATATGAAAAATACAGCTTCCTAGTACTATAGCTACTTTGTTACACCATGACGGAAATAAATGAAGACTAACAACTTCACGACATTGTTAATGGAGATACCAAACTGACCAAGTATTAAAAGTTCTAATATTAAAACCCCTAACATTACGGTAAAAGTTATGAATAGGAAAACACACCTGAAAGCAAGCCAAATGATGAGTGAAACTTGAGGTATAAAAGCACAAAAACCTATAAGCCGAGAGAGTTGCGCATTATCGGCTGCCAGATACAATAAGTAAAAGTAGGGTGAAAAATTATGTCGTGTGTCAGTACGGTGCAAATGATAAAGTAATGCTTCGTTAACGTAAGGCATACCATATAATATATAACATATGAACGTCAATGCTAATAAACTAGAAGAAAATATCTGAAATAAGTGGAATCAAAACAGATGTGATATAGTGACACTTTTAAACAGTAACCTATTAAAATCGTAAGGAAGATAATAACATGGTTTACAGATTCTTGTTTCATATCCTGTGAATTTGTATAAGTAAATATTATAAATATTATAAACAGAAACAGTGATATCCACAGAACAGTGATATCCACACTGTTCTCAACAGAATGTTGAAATGGATGGAACTAGGTAAAAATAGCTTATGATATATGATATCTAACATACCATTACAAAAATATATCCTTTCACATTTGAAATCAATCGTTTGATATAATCGATCCATCCAGATGACAAAGAAACACTGGACAGAGACAAGAAAATGGAAGGTAAATAAATAATTGGATATAATTTCACGTGTACTGCTAGCAGCCCATAAACCAAGGATGCTAATCGCCACTGAAAATATTTCGTCCAAATCTCATTTCGAAACGAAAATGGTACCACATGATTTCACTTACTCTTTTATATTAATTTCACCCTCTTGATGGTGGCTTTTTTTTCTAGCTGTTCCGGATAAACTAGTGCGTAAGGCTGAATAAACATTGTAGTCGCATTTCCCATTATTCATCAAATGTTAATCAGTAATACTGACATTCATTGATTAAAAAGTTGATAATGAGTTATTTATAGCAGCTCATTATAAACTGATTTTAAAACAGACGTTTTTCATCACTAATTAATTCAATCTATATCGAAAATTATAATCAACAAATATTAATAAACTAGAAAGGAGGTACAAATATTAATAAACTAGAAAGGAGGTAGAATAATATCGGGAGACAGAATAATATCAGAAATGATAAGAACCTGGTAATCACAATCACTTCCATTCCACTCCTTTACTTCTTACTCTTTGCTGTCTAACTAAACTATTATAATCTGATTCTGCATACCACGAAAAAAAAAAAATGAAAACTGTTTTGAACGCTGTGAAGATGTTACCTGATTCCGCATAAGTAAATATAAAGTCCATAGAACGACAGCACATACAAGCACATCAGCATTACCTCTTGATGATATTATGGCTGTTAATGGATTTGCAAGCCAAAATATCACTACACTTTTTTTATCCTTGACTCATCTTCGTCCTATAAACTTAAAAAACTGAATAAAGAGACAAAAGTTAAAATAAAAAACGG